TACACGTGTAAAAGTTGGCGAGCATATTACGATGGTAGGCAGGCTTCTCACATGCAGAAGGACGATAATTCGTTTCCGTCCATGGGACATCAATCAATCAAGCTGCTGCAATTTGTTTATTCGTTTAACGGAATTGGTAGTGGCACGTAGTTGGAATTTATATCCGCCATCAGTTTGGTTTTAGGCAGTTCTCGAAGATAGCTTTACAAGAAAGTGATTACTTTTAGCGCTTCCTCGGCTATTTCCCAGTTCCTCCGCCTTTTGTGCGTGACGAGGTTGACATTTGACTAGATCATATAGAAAGTGCCTAAGTTCTGGTATCACGGGTTGGGCGATAGAACGGTGGATCGTATAAAAATCATAAATACTGTTCTTTTTTCTTGTAAAATTTGGCTCTTGGCAAGGAACAGTACTCTTGAATTTCTTGTTTGATTAATAGTAAGTGTTTGGGTGAAAGTTAAGAGCAATAATTGCCCTTAATTTACTTTTCATGTACTTCTCAGAAGATGCAACCATCGGGTGCTACACAAGCCTCTTACAAATTTCGTTACAATCTTTTTTGAAGCTGAAGTGTTGTGGTTTCAGAAGTCAGCTGGTGTACGACGCTGTCGGAATTTTTGATGTAACCGGTGAGTTACAATGGCATATGAAAAACGAGACGGACAATGATCCTGAAAAACGGGAACGACTGAAACGATTGGCGGCACGAACGGCGAAAATGAACGAAGCTGAGTATAAGAACTACACCAAAGCACGCACTATGTGCGGCTTTTGCATTGGACATAATGTCAAGTAATGCTTTAAAAGGAATTAGAAATTTCGTGTTTTACAATATGATACGTTTGTTCAAAAGACAGGATATATTCACCATATATTTGGTGTTAAAATAGAACATGAAGACGAATTAATTCAGTAATTTACACAATTTTTGAAAGTGAAACGAAACATTACTAAAGTAAAAATTTTAATGGAATAAGTGTTTACGTGTGTGGATTGCTGTGTGGCGTGGTGCCAATTAGATAAACGATAAGTTTTATGCCTTACTTATTACAACGCAGATAATAGCAATAACACACAAAGCGTGACGCTTGGGCTCTGACGAACGGGATGGCCTGATCAGCAGTGGATTTTGCAAAGGGGGCTCCGAGGTGAAATAGTTCTGGTTTCAAGACGAAGGTGTCCGAGTCCCAGTAGTGTTCGAAGATTGCGGCAGCAGGAGTCGTAGCTAGCGAGGCGGGGATGATGTGGGTCGAGGAGACTGAAGTCCACGAAGAAACTGAAGAAGAAATCGAGCCACGAAGAATGGTAGGGAGGTTTATAAAGGGAGTAAGAACCATCCCAGAAGAGGATGTGATGGTTTTTTGGAGGGGTTGAAGATATACCAAAATGTAAAAATGGTAATTAGGGTAAAGGGAAATGTGAAAAGGGCAAATGGAAATAGGGGTCTTTAAGGGGGTTAAAAAAGGATTGAAAAGGAAAAATAACAAAGGTGGAACGTCCGCGAACGCAAGTGCATTCCAAAATACGACTAAAGCGGGATGAAGGGGACGAATATATAATAAGATTTTTATAGGTGTAAAAAAAGAAAGACGAAAACGAGGGAAATTGTAAACACACAGGAATGCAATTGGCATTCCTGACTCGTAGGCTAAAAAAGAGGAAAAAAAA